GGGATGCGGGGCGGGAGCGGGGGCAGCCGGGCGACCAGAGCGTTCACCTGGGGGCTGCTGGCTGCCCTGGGGGGCTCCGGGGGCTTCTTCTTCTCAGACCGCGGCGGGATGGGGGGCTTGGGGCCGCTCTCCTTCTTGATCTGCAGACAGAGGGAGGTGTTGGCAGGGGGGACGCCAGGGTGGAGCCGGGCTGCCTGCCCGAGCGTGCCCCCCATGCTGAGAGGGGGACCCGGGGGTCCCGGCTCCCCACCCGCCTCCGGCAGGGTCTCACCTGCCCCTGGCTCCCGTCGCCGCTTTCAGAGGCGTCCAGGCCGTTCTTCTTCGCCGCCGCCGGGGTCCGACTCTCGCGGTGGATCTTCTCCGTGCTCTCTGTGGGTGCACAGAAGGTGACGAAGGGGGGACCAGCCCCTGGCACCTCTGCGCTCTTCCAGGCCGCGGGCAGCTGGAGGGGACACTGCATCCCGGGGGGACCCCATCTCCCAAACGCGCTGCGCCCCTTGGGGGCCTGAGGGAGCCCGATGGGGGGCGAGCGGGGCCGGGGCTCAACCCCACCCACCTGAGACCACCATGGCCATGACCAGGTCGGCGCGGGCCGAGCGGGAGCTGATGATGTGCTGCTGGATGAGGAACTGGGCCACCTCCACGATGTTGTTGAAGGAGCGTTTGAGGATCTTCTCGGCCCAGTCGCAGGTCAGGGCGCAGGCCGCCTCCATCACCTCACTGTTGTAGGACTGCACCAGGTCCGTCAGCTCCGACTGCTGCCGGCGGGAGAAGCCGTGAGCCCCACGGCGCGGGACTGCGAACAGGGCCCGATCCCAGCACGCCGGCAGGTCACAAGCCTGCCCGGGCACGCAGGTCCTCATCCACCCTTGCGGAGGCTCAGGGGACAGAGCAGAACCTGCTCCCAGGGAGGCCGTGCCTCCACCCCCTGCCTTCGTTAGATCTAACGAGCGAGGAGGTTCGCTACCCCGCCAAAAGGACAGCGAAACCCAAGCCGCAGAGGCAGCAGAGGACTTACAGTCTCCGTCACTTTAAGGTCCAGGCTGGGCAGGGGCGGCAGGCTGACCACCGTCTTCCTCCGGATCCCGCTGTAGCAGTATGTTTGCAGGGTTAAGGCGTTTCGCGGTCACACGAACGTGGCCGCGACAGGTTACAACTCAAAGGGGAGCGGCCGCGGGGCTTGCGATGGGCTTGTGACAGCAGCCGGCCCCCCGCCCGCCACGAGCTCCCCTGAGGCTGCCCCGAGGGCACGGCAAGGACAGGGCAGCTCCAAGCCCCTCTCGGACAACCGAGCTGAACCTTCAGCAGCCGAAAAACCAGGAACCAGGCCCTCCCAGAAGCTACAAAATACCACCTCGGGCACAGACCTATAAATGGGAAACGGGGGGGAGCGGCGGCTGTCGCCCCAGCCTCGCTGCTCCCTGGGCCCCCCGGCCAGCCGGGCACGCGGAAGGATATTTCGACTGCCCTCGGCCTCCCAGCCTTCGGGCTTTGATGTTTGGGAAGATCTCCCGGATGATCTTGCCGAAATTGGCAGCGCTCAGGGGGCGACAGCAGAGGTTATCGCAGTATCGCCTGCGGGGGAGAGCTGCAGGTTAAAGCCGTCGAGCCCTCCTCGCCGCCCTCCGGACGCAGCCGCTCCTCTCCGCCGCCGGGGCTCGCGTCAAGAGCCCGGGGTTGGGCAGGGCCATTCCCAAAACAACCCAGGCGCTCCCTGCCCTCCGAACCGACCTCCCCGCCGGGCTTCGCCAGACAAGCCCGGCCCCAGGAGAGAGGCTCCCCGCGCCAGCCCGGCCCCTGCACTCACTTGTAGGCATCGTAGACGTCCTGCTTGGGCAGGCAGGTGTCCGTGTGCTCCTCCAGGTGGTTCCGGATCCAGTTGCAGGCATGCATGTACTCGGCCGTGCTCAGCGAGCTCAGGTCCAGGCTACCACTGCTCCCATGAGAGCCCGAGACAAACGTTTAATTAGCGGAGAAGCGGCACAAGCAGGACAGGAGAAGGCAGAGCCGTGGCCATCTCCCTCCTGGCCTCTTGCGATCTGCGTCCCCCGCCGCCACCCTGACAGCCCCTGCTCTCCCAGACGCGGCCCCAGCTCGCTCCGGCACCCACCTCTTCTCCCCGAGGCTTGGCCCCGACGGCAGCTGGAGGTAGAGGTAGAGCTTGTCGTTGTCTGAAAACTTCTGGACATCTTGCTACGGTGAAAGGGTCCACAGGGAGGGGGAGAACGGACCAGAGACAAAGAAAGGTTAAGGATCGAAAATAAGAAGAGCCGGGGCAGGCAGCGCTCTCGTTACGCTCTCAACAGCAGTAACCGATGGGGCACTGAAACCAGGGCGTTTTACCAGCACGAACGCAGCCTGCGCGCGAGGGAACCGGGCAAGCGAAGTCGCAGGAGCTGCCCCTCGAGGGGACTGGACAGGGGTGGTCCGCAGGGGGCCGGGCGAGTGGGTACCACCAAGGGGCTGCTCGGGGCAAAGCCCCGCAGCCGGATCCTGACCCAACGGGAAACGGGATCAGGGAAAACCCAGGGTTCGGTTTAGCTGGGAGAGGAGGGAGGTGGAGACGCGTGGTGCCCGCACCCTCAGCACAACGGAGGCACTCACCAGGATGGAGTCGACTTTGTTCTGCACGGATTTGCTGCGCGGGACAGAGACGAAAGGCGTTAGCGCAGAGCAGGACGCCGCCGCAGCACCCGGGGCACCCCTCAACCCGCCCATTCTCTGGGGCTCCCGAGGACAGCCCTGCCCCGGGCCCTGCCAGACCCTACCCGCGCCCCGGGGTGAGCGGCAATGCCAGGACGGGGACACCGGGGCACCAAGAGCCGAAGGCTGCCCGCACCCAGGGGTCCGCGCAGCCCGTTCTCCCCATGCTCCGGGCTTCCCTGCGCGCCCACACCCCCGCTGCAGAGCTGCGTGCTCTGCCCTAACCCCACGGAGAGCAGAGCAGGCGTGAAACCACGTCCCTCGGGGTCGCGGCAGACCGGTCTGTGCTACCGCGAACCCTGCATTGATTCTGCACCCAAAACAGGCCGCGCTCTGCGTACAGCGCCCGGCGCGGGGCCGAGCAGGGCACACCTGAGGCCATGCCGCTCGGCCGCGCCAGCGCCAACGCAAGAAGCTGCAAGGCGCCGCAACGCTTATCCCTTCGGTCCCTGGGGCTGCGAATTAATCAACCTTATTAAATCAGCCCGCATTTGATAACAGTCAGATTAACTGGAAGAGCTGCCCGGGGAAGAG